CTCGCGCAGGACCAGAGTCAACAGCTACCTCGACAGGCTCGACCGGGTCTACCTGGGAAACACCTGAGGGAGCAGCACCCTGGGGAGGGAGGGGGTCTACCGACGGGACACCTGGGGTGAGGAAGAGCGGCGGGGGGGGGAGCGGGGCAGTGCGGTAGGGGAAGAGACGGTAAAAGGGTACCGACTCGTCGAAGGTGACGTCCTGAGAGGCGAAGACGCGGCGCGAGGTGGGGTGGTAAAACCGCCAACTAGGCGCGTCAGGGACAAAGCCCAGGAAGACACAGGGAACGGCACGGGAGGAGAGTTTGTCCGCGGACGTATCGCGGACAAAGGCTCGACATCCCCAGACTCGGAACATCGACGCGTCGCCAACCTCCCCCGTCCAACGCAGGGTAGGCGAGGTCTCCGGAACGGAGACACGGGGCCAGAGGTTGAGCTGATGCGCGGCGTACTGCACTGCAAACGGCCACAGGAAGTGGGGGGCAGCCGCATGGATCATGGAGGTACGAGCGACCTCCATGACAAGACCAATGCGGCGCTCAGCAACCCCATTCTGCTGCGGAGAGGCCGGGAGAGTGAACGTCTGGCGGATGCCGTGCTCCGCACAGTAGGCTGCCAAGAGGTCAGAGGAAAACTCGCCACCTCTGTCAGAGTGCAGACGTAGGACAGGAAAGTCCGACTGGAACCGCTGGCGGAGCTGGAGACGAGCAGCGCGGATCCAGGGGATCAAGACATCAGGGACCTCACCCTTGGTACGCAAGGGGAAAACCGTGGTGTAGCGCGTGTAGTCGTCGACGACCAGCAGAAAGTACCGCTCGTGGCCCTGTCCCCGGACGCGGGCTGGGCCCCACACGTCCAGGTGGAGAGTCTGCAGGGGAGCCTCTGTGGGAGGGAACGAGGAGGAGTGAGGAGCGGCGCGCTGCCGCCCCTCGACACAGGGAAGACAGGGAGGAGCAGGCGAGGGTGGTAGGGGAGGGAGAACTCTGGGAAGACCAGAGACAAGGTTCCTGGAGTGCATGCCGCGAAGGCGCTGCACTGACGGGTGACCAAGGCGGTGGTGCCAGAGGACAGTCCTGTGCGACAGGGAGCGACACGAGCAGGGGGCCGACAGCTGACGTGACGCAGACGCAGACGCAGCTACCTGAGGGGACTCAGTGGTCAGTGTGTACAAGTCCGACCCCGGCTGCCGAGTGAAGGTAGCCAGGTGACGACCCGTTCGGGCACACGTGCAGTGCGTCACACGCTCGTAGGCCGGGGTGAACTGGTGAACATCCGCGTCCTGGAGCGCGGAACCCCCCACCAAGTTCGTAGAGAACGAGGGGAGGTAGAGGCCCGACAGCGTGCCAGACGGGACAGCAGGACAAGGGAGGGCAGTGGTGGAGGTCGCAAGGACCGGACATCGAACTTAATCGGGCGGCCCTCAGCGTCAAAGGTGAGAACAGTGGGACTGGCCATAGTGGCAGTAGCAGGAGTAGCAGTAGCAGTAGCAGTAGAAACAGTAGGAGCAGTAGGAGCAGGAAGAGCAATTGCAGCAGGTAGGGCGGCGCGGCTCGGTCAGGGTGGCGCGGCTCGGTCAGGGCGGCGCGACTCGGGCGGCGCGACTCGGGCGGCGCGACTCGGGCGACGCGGGTCGGGCAGGTAAGGCGGCGCGACGGCGGGCCTAGGCTGGGTGCGCGGCGGCGCCTAGGGTGCATCTGCGCGCGGGCCGCGGCTGCGTTCTAGCGGCGGCTGTGGGTCGCGCGCTGCAGCAGCCGACGCGCGATCGTCGCGGCGCGCTGGCTGCGACCTGCGGGCGGGCGGCTGTGGGTCGCGCGTCGGCCTAGGGGCTAGCAGGGGCCTACGGGCGGCGGTTTGCTGGGGCGCGTGAGAGAAATCGGGCCGCCCTAGGCGGCGGTTTTCTTACGTGCGCTAAAACGGCGGGGCCGCGCTCGGGCTGCTAGCGGGCTGCACACGGGCAGCGTGAGAGGAGAGCGCACGAGGGCGCACTAGGGGAAAGGCGCACGAGGGCGCTAAAAAAAAGGGCGCACGAGGGCACCTCTAGCGGAACGGTGGGCCCTTAGGTCTAGAACCTAAGCTCTTAATACCATGTCAGAATCAAGAAGTGATTGAACTACACAACATTGCAGTACAAGTATGAAACCCTAAAGTTGTGTACCCCCTAAAGGCTAACCCACTATAGCCTACACAGCAATAACACATATATAGCGTTTGACACATTCTAGCTCTCATACCATGTTGTTATAACTGAAGGATCGTAGTGGATAGGATAAGCCTATTAAGTATGAGAGAACTATGAAGTCTCTATAATGACCTTGTTGATAAAGTTGAAGAACAAGAAAATTATAACAAAGGAGTACAGGAATATAACTAGCAATCCTAGCTAGCCATGTACCCTAAGAGGTATATTTCTTTATTAACTGAATTACATTGCTACAGTAACCACGAATATTGCCATTCTCGATAGTTACCACGTTGCATCTCGTAACTGCCACGTGCGGTTACTGGGCAGTCAAGGGTCACGACCGTTGACTGTCTTCGACTGTTGACCTTCGAGTGACCCTCGACCTTACGCATGCTCTATATGAGCTATTGCGATACTGATACAGTCGCGTTACTTCGTAATGGAGTGACGCGAGAGTGGAGAGCCTTCGGGAATGTTTCCATAACCTTCTCGATTATTCCAACATAGAAGTTCGAACTTAGGCGAAAATTCGACCTCAACAGTGGAGCTGTTACGGGGTATTTTACTGTTCAAGGGTGGTTTACCGTAAATAGTACCCCAACCTCATCCCAACCTTATTTTAATCCAACTCATCCAAGATTTCCAAGATTTCCTAGTGCCACGTGGCACTCTAGCTTTCTTGCCTTCTACTTTCTAGTCCCACGAAGTACTTTCCAACAATCTATCTTGCATGCTGCTTAAACCTTGCTTGTACTTCGCATTATCAACCAATTCTCATTCAACTCTTCAATTACTCAGTAACATCTTTGCCTTTTTCGCCAAAGTCTTCCACCGCGCTTTCATCCTCAACTTTGTCGACCCCGCTAATCTTTAGCGGATTTAGGCCAAGGGGCCTTCGCGGGGAGCGACTTCCAACAATCGACCGTCGACGACGAAACTACGACGTCATCGTCCCGCGCTGCCGACTTGCAGACTTGGAGTCGTCGAGCCGACATGGATGAAACCATGAACGGTGTCCCCAACGACATGGGCAACATGCTTGCTCAACTCATGCTACAACTCGAAACGTTGACGCTGGAAAATCGTAAGGTACGGGCTGAAATGCAACAGCTTCGTGAATTCGCGTCAATTTCTCATGGTCGTGCCGCAACCTCCGACTACCACAGGATAGCAAGCTTCGTCCACGTTTCATTGGTCCATTCGTCCTTGAGCGTGCACTTGGTCCAGTCGCATTCCGCCTTCGCCTGCCCGCTCATTTCCGCATGCACCCGTCCTTCCACGTGTCGCTTCTTCATCCTTATACCAATCCCAACACCCACCTTCTCGGGCCATGATCGCACTCCATTTCCGGTAGCTGTTGACACTGACAAGCCCGACTACCAGATCCAGTGCATCCTCAGGCACCGTCCACGTCTCCAAGGGGGTGTCTCTTTCATCGACAACTTGGTTTGTTGGCGTGGTTACGATGCAGCTGACAACAGCTGGGTTCCTTCGTCCTCGCTGTCTCCCGACAACGCTTGCCTTCAAGCGTACCTTCAGTTTGTCGGCGCCGCGGACGTCGCCTCCTGTCAGAATCAACGAGCAGGAATGACAGACTATCGAGAAAGTTTGGTACAAGTATAAACCTAAAGGGGTTGTACCCCACATTGGCTACCCCACTACAGCCTACACCCAACTACAAAGCATATATATAGGTTGACACCTCCTTGGGAGGGGGGTAGTGTTACGGAGTATTTTACTGTTCAAGGGTGGTTTACCCTGAACAGTACCCCAACCTCATCCCAACCTTATCTTCATCCAACTCATCCAAGATTTCCAAGATTTCCAAGTGCCACGTGGCACTCTAGCTTTCTTGCCTTCCACTTTTTCGTCCCACGAAGTACTTTCTAACAATCTCTCTTGCATGCTACTTAAAGCCCGCGGCCCAAATTGCGGGCCGCGCGGGTCAAGCTTTTAAAACATGAAGTTTTTTTTAAAGTGTGTAACACTTTCTAAAAATGTATATTTCGAATGCGAAGCTGCTTGTAATGCAGCGATGGCAACGGCGAAGTGCTAGACGCTCTTCGCCAACTCTATAGCAGGGGGTGGAGGCCATTTGGCCTCCACCCACGTCTTCGCTTGAAATTTCAAATGTCTTATTTCATTCTCGTCCGACGACTTGGCGCTTCCCGTTTTTCCTCAGTTTCTCACTTGTCTCATAAAATAGTAGGCACTACTCGATCGACATAGCACAACAGGTGTTTCAGATATGACTTGCGGGCGCACCCATCCTCACAATAGGCGCACTTGTTGGGGCTAATAAAGCGACAGTGCCACTAGCGCACGTGGCGACGAAATCGCCACAAGCGCGCATGGCAACGAAATCGCCACAAGCGCGCGTGGCGACGAAATCGCAATAGGCGCGCGTGGCGACGAAACCGCCACAGGCGCGCGTGGCGAAGAAATCGCCACAGGCGCTCGTGGCGACGAAATCGCCACAGGCGGGCGTGGCGAAATCGCCAGTGGCGGACGTGGCGTCAAAATCGCCAGTGGCGCAAGTGGCGCCAGTGGCGCTCATGGCGCCAAAATGGTCAAAAATCGCCACTGGCGCACGTGGCTACGACATCGCCAGTGGCGTGCACTAACCCAGGGGCGCGTCCAGCGGAAGTCGGCACCAGCAGGCATGATGGCGAAATCTCCAGAGACAAACTGGCATGACATATGCTCTTCTGTTGCTGAAATTTGTCAACGGATAATTTATCACCTTGCATATGTTTCCACCTTTTCTTTGTACGTATCTTCGATTTTTGTTTCCCTTCGTTTTATCTCGTGTTATTTATTATTCTTTGGTCGCAGTAACTCGGTGCGAGGCAACTACCATAGCTTTGGGTCGCCATGAAAGACCATCGGCGAAGAAAGTCTGCGGCAAACATTTGGCACAACCCCATGCGCTCCCGTGCGGTGCTGGTTAGCGAGCTCCCCAGGGGGGAGGAGGACCGGGTCCTGTGCGGTGCTGGCCAGCGAGCTCCCCAGGGGGGAGGAGGACCGGTGGGTCCTGTGCGGTGCTGGCCAGCGAGCTCCCCAGGGGGGAGGAGGACCGGTGGGTCCTGTGCGGTGCTGGCCAGCGAGTTCCCCATGGGGGAGGACGACCGGTGGGTCCTGTGCGGTGCTGGCCAGCGAGCTCCCCAGGGGGGAGGAGGACCGGTGGGTCCTGTGCGGTGCTGGCCTGCGAGCTCCCCAGGGGGGAGGAGGACCGGTGGGTCCTGTGCAGTGCTGGCCAGCGAGCTTCCCAGGGGGGAGGAGGACCGGTGGGTCCTGTGCGGTGCTGGCCTGCGAGCTCCCCAGGGGGGAGGAGGACCGGTGGGTCCTGTGCGGTGCTGGCCAGCGAGCTCCCCAGGGGGGAGGAGGACCGGTGGGTCCTGTGCGGTGCTGGCCAGCGAGCTCCCCAGGGGGGAGGAGGACCGGTGGGTCCTGTGCGGTGCTGGCCAGCGAGCTTCCCAGGGGGGAGGAGGACCGGTGGGTCCTGTGCGGTGCTGGCCTGCGAGCTCCCCAGGGGGGAGGAGGACCGGTGGGTCCTGTGCGGTGCTGGCCAGCGAGCTTCCCGGGGGGGAGGAGGACCGGTGGGTCCTGTGCGGTGCTGGCCAGCGAGCTCCCCAGGGGGGAGGAGGACCGGTGGGTCCTGTGCGGTGCTGGCCAGCGAGCTCCCCAGGGGGGAGGAGGACCGGTGGGTCCTGTGCGATGCTGGCCAGCGAGCTCCCCAGGGGGGAGGAGGACCGGTGGGTCCTGTGCGGTGCTGGCCAGCGAGCTTCCCAGGGGGGAGGACCGGTGGGTCCCTTTCTGGCCTATGGGCCATTTGTAGGGTAGGTTCATGGTTGTGCAATTTAGTTCTACTTCTCAAATACCTTAGACTTTGAAAGCCTTAAAGTGCAAGGTTCAGATGCGGTCACACTTGAGTTTGAAATGGTGCGCAACTCTAGCGGATCAGTAAAAAAAGAAAAAAAAAAAAAAACGCACACACATAGAAAGGGCTTCACTCCACAAAAAAACGCCAGGATATTTACCGTATCCGGATTCAAGATGCATGCACTCTTCATAATGCGAGCACGGTTGTGACCGTTACAAGGGTTGGGCTCCACAAGCATCACATCCATCATCACACAGAACACCAACGCCCGCTGCCCGAGTCCTCCTATACCGCTTGCGAGTTCGTGTCCGAAGCTCCGTGTCAGCCAATTCATAAGTCAACATTAGTGTGCTACACTCAGTTGGGGCGACACTCCATCCAAGGCAACATTAGTGTCGCCAATTCAAGGCGACACTCCATCCAAGGCAACATTAGTGTCAGCATCCAGCTAAACCCTTTCTCATGTCTCAGAAGACCCATTTGAAACGAAGCTCGTTGCCATTGCAAACACAAGAAAGCAAGCTTTCTAAATATGAAGTTTTTTTAAAGTGTATAACACATTCTAAAAATGTATATTTCGAAAGCGAAGCTGCTTGTAATGCAGCAATGGCAACGACGAAGTGCTAGACGCTCTTCGCCAACTATATAGCAGGGGGTGGAGGCCATTTGGCCTCCACCCACGTCTTCGTTCGAAATTTCAAATGTCTTATTTCCCACCCACCCATGTTGAAACAACCGAAAGGTTATATAAAGCATTCCCGAAGCTGCTCCACTGTACCAGTACCGCAATAGCTCATATAGAGCATGCGGAATGTCGAGGGTCACCCGAAGGTCAACCGTCTGAGGAAGTCAACGGTCGCGACCTTTGACGATCCAGTAACCGCGCGACAGTTAATTCACTGCAACATGGTAACTGTCGAGGATAGCAATAGTCGCGGTTACTGTAGCTATGCAATACAGTTAATAAGTTAATGTACCCCTCAGAGTACATGGCTAGCTAGATTTCTATTTAATCTCTTGTACCCCTATCTTTCAATCATCTTGTTCTCTTTCAATTATTATTCAACAAGGTCACTACAGAGACTTCTTTGTCTCCTCTCAGACTTAACAGACCCTATCCTATCTACTGGATCCTTTGGTTGTATCGGCATGGTATGAGAGCTAGAGTGGATTATAGGATCCGTCAAAGTCTTCGTTCTTCTCAGAACAATCCCTTCATAAAGTTATTCATTACACCTCAAAGTCTGCAATACTATGGCTCCTGAAGGAAAAGCTACTGCAAACCCACCGGGCCCACCACCAGCAACGACTAACGCGCCATTAGCGGTGACCTCCGTCAGCGCCGCTGTTGTTGAGGAGCTAGTCGCACGCATCAACGCCCTTGAAAGCCATCAAGCAATGAGCATTGACGGCTCAAGCTACGCACGTGGAGTTGCTGGACTTCCTCTTCCTGGAGAAGACCGCCGCGTCAACTCCGAGAGATCCTTCACCTTCGACAATCGTCAAGGGTCAGCTCCTGCACAAGACAACCCACATCGCTTACAGTCAGACATCGCTTCAATGCAAACCAAATTTGTATTGACTTCAAAATTGAAGACCTCAATTCCTTTTGACGGAAAGGATTTCTACACGTGGAGTTTCGAATTCGAGCTTCTCGCGACAACCGCTCAGATCTGGATGTACTACGACGGAAGCCTACCTTTTCCTTCGGAAGGCACCATCCAGGAGAAGCATCAATACTACCACGAATCTCTCCTCGCATACACCGCTCTCCTTCGCAACCTCTCACCTGAAGAACAGCTTGGCGTTCGTCCTTATAAGACGGAATGGGCTCCCGCGCACGCGTCCTGGGAACGCCTGCGCAACTCATACATGGCAACAGATCCAGTTACGATGAGTCGTCTGCTCAGCCAGCTAACTTAGGTTAAAATGAAGCAAGGGGAGAAAGCGGGACCGTATGTCAACAGGTGCCGCAATCTGCGCGACCAAATCAAGAAATGCAGTGGGACTGTCCCCTGTGCGAACAGTGAGAGACCGTCTTTCCTATCGCACTGCAGGAAAAGCTGCAGATCATCGACCCAGACCTCAAAGTCGACAGCCCGACCCTCAGCATCAAAGGTGAGAACGCTAGGGGTAGCCATGACAGCACCAGCAGCAGGCTAGAAGCAGTAGCAGCAGAAGCGGCGCGGCTCGGCAATGCTCTTACCAGGGCAGGTTGGTAGAGGCCCGCAAGTGGTGGGGCAGGGCCGAGGCGCGCCGGCAGGGACGGGGCCGCGACAGGGCGGCAGAGGAGTGCCGCTCCTCTCTGCAGGGCAGGGCTGGGACGGCGGCGGCGGCTCCTGCTGTCGGCGGCGGCGGCGGCTGCTGCTGTCGGCGGCTGCGGCGGCTGCGGCCCCGGCAGTGGCGGCAGCGGCTGTCACGGCAGTGGCGGCGGCGGCTGCTGCTGTCGGCGACGACGGCGGCTGCTGCTGTCGGCGGCAGCTGCGGCGGCGGCTGTGACGGTTGTGGCGGCGGCGGTTCCTGCTGTCGGCAGCGGCGGCAGCCGCGGCCCCGGCAGTGGTGGCGGCGGCTGGTACTGCTGGGGCGGCGACGGCGGGGCGGCAGGGCCGTGAAGGGGCCGTGAGGGGCCGCGGAGGAGCCGAGACGGGGCCGCTAAGGGCGGCGAAGGGGCCACGAAGGGCCGTGAAGGGGCCGCGAAGTGCGGCGACAGGGCCGAGAAGGGGCCGCGAGGGGCCGCGAAGTGCGGCGACGGGGCCGAGAAGGGGCCGCGAGGGGCCGCGAAGGGCGGCGACGGGGCCAGAAGAGGCCGCGAGGGGCCGCGAAGGGCGGCGACGGGGCCTAAAAGGGGCCGCGAGGGGCCACGAAGGGGCCGCGAGGGGCCGGAAGGGGCCACGACGGGCCGTGAGAGGGTCCACAAAGGGCCGCGGAGGGGCCGCGAGGGAGCCGCGAAGGGGCCACGAGGGGCCGTGAGAGGGGCCGCTACGGGGCCGTAAGAGAGCGCGACGGGCCGCTAAGGGCAGGGGACGCGACGGGAGGGTAGGGGCACGGGGCGCGACTCGGGCAGGGGCGAAGCGCGCTCCGGGCAGGAAAAAAAAATCGATTTTCGTGGTGGGCCCTAGGAAACGTTCCCACTAGGGAACCTGCTCTATACCATGTGAGAAAATGAGGAATGAATGACTAAGGAATGAGTGTGATACAAATATGAAACCCTAGAATTGTGTACCCCTTAGTATCTAACCCGCTACAGCCTACACAGGCTAGATCATATAAGTCTGACATCCCCGACAACATGTTCATCTCGATGGTCATCTCTGGCCTCGGCCCCGACTGGCGACAGTGCCAGTCACTCCTTCGCGCCCGAGCAACCATATCGGAGTCGGCTCTGTGCGCCACGCTTCTTTCGGAGCAGAAGGAAATCGACCTGTACAACGAGAAGAATGTCAAACGGGAGAAATTAGTCTTCTACACAGGAGCATCACAAGGGGAGCAACGCGGAAAGAAGGGAGCTTTTTGCAAATACTGCAAGAAGTCTGGCCACACTATCGACCAGTGCTACAAGCGTCAGGCCGCTGACGAGCGGCGCAACGCCTCCAACCAACAACCATCGGCACAGACAAAGCCTTCCGCCACAACCTCCACTGTGTCGCCTCCGTCCGTCGCCAGCACTTCTCAATCTCCTGCACTCATCACGGCGAAGGACAAAGGAAAAGGGACAATCATAAGCTCCATGGCTCGCCGCAATAGAGGGTTCCGTTACTGGGATCGAGTAACATTCGCTCGCGACAATCCCATCAACCCCGTTGCGCCTAGTCCAGACAATGATTCAACAGTCTTTACCTGGTCCACTCGCCCCTCAGACATTACTCCTGACTTTGAGCTCCCTCCTCCTACTCCGGAATCGCCGCCGAGCATTTCCGCAAACAGATATTTCGCCCTCTCACCGTACACCGGCGACTTTGATCGCATCGTCACACCCAAGATCGCCAACCTCGCCCGCCAGCGCTACGAGGATCTGGACACATGGTACCTCGACAGTTGCTGCGGACAACACATGGTGGGATCGCCAAAGTTCATTAGCAACTCACGGCGTATGCGACGACCCTGCGAAATCACCGCCGCCAACAACGGAAAAATGAAGGCATATGAGATTGGCGAAATCTACCTCGAGGCCAATGACACGAAGTTCACCATTCACATCGGAGACGTCCTCGTCGCACCTGACCTACAATACAACTTACTCTCATCAGCTCAACTCATGCGGTGCGGAATCGACATTCGCAGCAATCGGAAGGAGAAGACCTTCGAGCTCTTCCACAACGAAACTTACATTGGAAAGGCGATCGATGACGATGGAGTCTTCGTGCTGCAATTTTCGGCTCAGGGCACCACCGGCGATTCCCACCGCACACTGCTGCTGAAAACAACTCCCACGGAACCGCCAACATGGTCACATCCCGACGAGATGGATCTCGAGCGACCTGCCTCCGACGGCCTTCTGCTCTTGCGCACCGTTCCGACTGCCTCGACCTCCAACCCTGCAGAAACCGGACCTGCCACAATGGAAGAAAACAGCGGCACGTCAGGACCTGCAACACAACCAACCGAAGAAAACAAGACGGCGGAGACACGCTGGACGGGCTGGAACACTTCCGAGCCCGCGCTCGGATCCTGGGGAGAAGTTTTAACTCCAGAAGAAGCAGCCGCAAGCGGGTGGGGCGCCGTTTCAACGGGAGAAGTTGGCGCGACCGGCTGGGGGACTCCCCCTGCCCCAGCAGAGGAAGTTGGTGCAACAGCAAGAGAAGCAGTCGGAGAAGCAGAGACAGCTGGAGACACATGGGGCGCCGGAGGAGGATGGGTCACCTCGGCCGAAGCAGGACAAGGGCACGTCGAAGCAGCTGGTTTTCCTCCTGCAGAAGTCGCCGTCGTCGACCCATACTGGGTTGTCAGAA